CCCCACACACATGTACAGATCGCGTCTCCCCCCACACACACATGTAGTGTACAGTGTGCGGCTGGACACATCCTCCCCACACACATGTAGAAGGAGCCGGACGCGCCCCCCGCGTGTAACGTACCAATAATCAGCCCTTGAGAAAACGTTCAAGTATATAAATATCGGACGCGGCTCCGCAACGTCCACGTAACCGCGGCAGGGAAGAAGATTTCCCCGACTGTGAAAGACGAAACCGTTAGCCGGGAGTCGCCACAAGATGGCCGCCCGCCGAGGACAGGATACGCTATATATCAATGAGATGAGGAGAACTGTCGGGGATCTCCTCCCACAGATAACCTGGCCCCGCCCCCTTTCGTTCATTTCTTTCAATCATAAAGGTTCAGCATCCAATGTGGGCGTGACCTATGACCCAGGGCGGTCCGTTGTAGTCAGGAAGATGTTTACAGCCCCTCCCACCAGCCATGATCTGCCTGCATTGCGCAGAGACCCAGTGATTACATCACCAGGGATAAATGTAGAGGGATCAGGACCTCCTTCCTCCTGCTGGGGACCCCTCTAGTGATAGATCTATATAGAGGGATCAGGACCTCCTCCCTCCTGCTGGGGACCCCTCTAGTGATCTGTATGTAACCTCCAGTACAGTTACGTAAATAGAACAGGAAGTCCAGATATTATTGCCCATAGAGTGTCAGCTGAGTAGGGGGAGGGGAGTGAAAGGCAGTAAAAAACGCAATAATGCACTTCTGGGTCATGTGACCAGGGGACACCGCGGCAGTGTGTTGCAGGCGCACTCATATCAGCAGAGTCTTTAGTGACAGTTCTCGTCCCACAATGCAAAGCTACAGACGATCATGTGACCAGGAGCCAAATACTGCGGGCACCCGCTCTTTGCAGGTAGTAGGGAAGGTTCCCCCGCTCCTCTCTTCCTGCCAATGACGGTCTCCATAGCTAAAGCCGAACTCCACCTCACAGAGCAACATGAAAAGTGACACACAGGTCACAAGGACTCCTCCCATTCTCCCAACACCGGGGCCTGGGTACACAGGTCATACGGGCTCCTCCCATTCTCTGCATATTGGGGCCGGTGCACACAGGTCATGCGGGCTCCTCCCAGTCTCTGCACACAAGTCATACGAGCTCCTCCCACTCTCTGCACATTGGGGCTGATGCACACAGGTCATACAGGCTCCTCCCATTCTCTGAACATTGGGGTCGTTGCACACAGGCTCCTCCCACTCTCTGCACATTGGGGTGTGCACACATGTCATATGGCTCCTCCCATTCTCTGCATATTGGGGCCGGTGCACACAGGTCATACGGGCTCCTCCCACTCTTTGCATATTGGGGCCGGTGCACACAGGTCATACGGGCTCCTCCCACTCTCTGCACACAGGTCATACGGGCTCCTCCCATTCTCTGCACATTGGGGCCGGTGCACACAGGTCATACGGGCTCCTCCCACTCTCTGCACATTGGGGCCGATGCACACAGGTCATACGGGCTCCTCCCACTCTCTGCACACAGGTCATACGGGCTCCTCCCATTCTCTGCACATTGGGGCCGATGCACACAGGTCATACGGGCTCCTCCCACTCTCTGCACATTGGGGCCGATGCACACAGGTCATACGGGCTCCTACCACTCTCTGCACA